GTCAGCCAGTGTGGCAGGAAGACAGCCAAGGGGAGACTGCCACCCGCCCCAGGGAGGGCAGGGAGAGAGTGAGGCTGTGAGAGCCAACTGAGGGGTCCGAGAGATGGGGCAGAGCACCGTCCGTCTGTTCCGGGCAAACGGGCCAAGGCCTTTTGGAATGGGGCTGGGAATCTAAAGAGCTAACATGTCCTCAGTGCTGAAGGCGAAATTGCAAGTAGCAGCCAGGGCGGCTGAGCTAGAGAGAGGGGCAGATGCCGGAGGACTCACTTGGTGTCAGGCACCCACCTGTCCCATGGCCTGTGCTGAGCTCTGGGGTTTGAGGTGTAGGGCATTGAGGCCAGAAGAACTGCCTTCATTAGAAAGTCACTCAGCCTAAGCAGCATTTTATGGGAGTTCAGAACTAAGCAGGGCATGGATTTGAAGAGAGGCCTGTGGTTCCAGCTGTGTCTAAATTCAGAACCCCCTACCCCCATTACTGCAGATGGTGAATGGTAGATGTTTGAAATAAATATATTACATATACAAATGATTATACATATAGTTGAAGCTGATGTAAAGGAAATCATACAGTATATAGAAAACCTTTTTGGTGTCTGATTTCTTTTGTTCAATGTGATGTCTATCAGACTCATCCATGTCTAGGCAGCAGTTGCTATGAGGCAGTCCATTTATGAATAAACCACAATTTTTCCATTCTCCTCTTAGTGAACATTTGAGATCTTCTTAATTTTGAGCTATTATGAACAAAGCTGCTATGAATGTTCTCGTGTGCATATTTTGGTGGACCTATTATATTTTTGAGCTGACTTTTTGCTGACACAAGCTATTGATTTTTGGTATGCTCATTTAGTATTTGGCTATCTTATTGAATTCTAATAGCTTTTTCTGTTCATTTTCTTGGGTTTTCTTGGAACACATTTGTATCAGATAGAAAGCTTTTAGTTTCAAGTAACAGAAAACTCAACCCAAATTGGATTAAGGCCCAAAGTGTATGTATTTGCCCCATAACTGTTTGCAGAGTCCAGTATGGATCTACCTTCAGGAAAGGTGTGATCCAGGGGATAGGATGTCATCAGGGCCCATCTCTATTTCTCTGGGTTCCTCTGGACTCTGCCATCCTTGGGTGCTGCCTTTGTCCTCTTGGCTCCCCCTTGGAGTGGCAACAATTGCTACAGCAGTTCTAGAATTCAAGTCCTCATCAAACCATCCAGAGGAACAGCATGCTCTGAGGATACCCACAAAGACCAAAGAAGCTTCTTTCCTCAAGACACTAGTCAATGCTGTCTCATACCTCATTGGTCCAAATTGGGTGACATGCTCATGTCTGAGCCAATCAAATTGTGCAGTCAATAGGATAGTATGCCCTGATTGCCTCAATTTCATGAGGGACGACCCTTGTCATTAAGGGAGGAGTCAATCTCACCAAATCTCATGGCTGCCACACAGTGGGGCAGTGCAGGTTCCTGAAAGCTCCTCAGGGAGCTTTTGAGTGGAGCAGAAAATGGATGCCTGAGAAGCAATGTCAAAATGTATATTGTTATGAGACTAAGAATGGTATTGCCTGTAATGATTATTCATGGTCTCCTTACGACAGGAATATTTTTTATTTCTGTCTCTTGCTTCAACTTGTTGGCTAGAACACAGGGTCTCTTAAGTTTACACAGAATGGAAATGGCTTTGAGCTCTTTCAGAGGCTCTGGGAAGGATGTGTATAAACATAGAGAGGCAGAGGGAAGGCCTAGGAAGCAAATCCTTCTTCACAGTTGGCTGCGATGTGGAGGTGCTCAGGCCAGTCCGATGGCTGTGGACTAGGAGGGGAGGCATCACGCCAGGAGATTATTGAGATAGACTGGACCACGGCAGAAGGTGAGCTAGTTTTCTATTGCTGTGTAAGAAACCACCAAACGTTTAGTGGCTTAAGAAAAACCCACAAATTTATTATCTCATGGTTTTTTTTAGGTCAGAAGTCCAGGCATAGGTTAGCTGAGTTCTCTGCTCGGGGTCTCACAGGCTGAAATCGAGGTGTTTGCTAGGCTGCATTCTCATCTAGCACTTGGGATCTTCTTCCAAGCTCACTCGGTGTGGGCAGAATTCAGCTCCTTGCGGTTGTAGGACTGAGGTCCCCCTTTTCTTGCTGGCTGTTGGCAGAGGGCTGTCCTCAGATACTAGCTGTGTGGCCTTCTCTTGACCTGTCGGTTTGCTTCTTCAAGGTCAGTGTAGAATCTCTTCCAGTCTGCTACCACGGAGTTTTATATAGCGTGATGTGAGCATGGGAGGGACTGTCCCATCACAGTCACAGGTCCTGCCTGCACTCCCGAGGGAGGAAGTTATACAGCACATGTACACCGGGGGCAGGAATCTTCTGAGCTGTCTTAGAATGCTGCCTCTCACAAAAGGCAATTGTTACCCTAAGCCTCTCACTGACCAGGAAATAGATGTATTATTATGCATATAATAATAGATGTATTATATCTGTATTATAGATAATATGTATACATACATGGGAGATAAAATTATAAATCCAAGTTTGTTAATATTTATAAAAATGTGGATTCAGAGAAATGATCAGACATCTAATTTTTCCAAACCACTTCATAATCTGACAGTTGATCTAGTGCTAATAACTATAATTTGTACAATATTCTTTCAGTTCACAAAGCATTTTGTCTGATCCCAGAATGTTGTGAATTAGCCTATAAGCTGTGCTTTAGCATTTGCTCTTTTGATTCCATTGGCTCTTGACTTGACTCTCACGCTTCCGTTGCGGTTCCTATGCCAGCCAAACAGGTACTTGTAGATCACATGCTGTTTCACAGTTTTGTTTCTTTGGCCATGTGGTTCACTTTGCAGAAAATGTCTTCCCTTGCCTTGTCCACCGAGGAAACTTCTATTCATCCTTCAAAACCCTTTTTGTTTCAGGCAGGGCCGTCAGGGGCACGCTTGAACAGCACTGTTCTTTAGAAGTCCTTGTGTTGCTCTTGATGGTCAGGGTAGGGTATACCTCCAGGCTGACAGACACAAGCCAGGCTCAGCTCCACACCTGCCTCAGACGCCCACAGAAGCAGGTGTGATAACACCCAAGGCTGTGTTCACATAAAGGTTTGCTATTGAACAGTCCGGGTGTCTAATGTGCATTAACTCACTTATGCCTCACAGCAACCCAGAGGGCCGGTTTTGCCTATTTCTCCATTTTATAGATGAGAAAATCAGGATGCAGAAGGTTTAAATGACTCAGCCAAGGTCACCAGCTAGTAAGTGGTGGAGCCAGGATTTGAACCCAGCACACACTTGTGCACACCCCAACGATATTGACAATATTGCCATCTCCCTCATAGCATAGAATTAAGTGAGCTAATGCATGTCAAATGCTCAGTGCCTGCTATACAGTAAATGTACAAAGTATGAGATTTATTGTTCTTACCTATGGTACAGAGGCTTCTGTTTTCCTATTCTTTGGGATAAAAGGTAGGAAGAAAATAAAAATATCAGAACATCCTTTTGCCCTCCCCCCTCCCTCAAGTCCTCTGTGTTTGGCTACACCACTGCCCTATTTAAAGGGGCTCTCTTTTTGTTGTTTGGAGGAACAGACAGCAAAGAAGGGGGTCACAACAGCAGAATATCCATCTGGAAATGGGTTCTCGAGGTGAGGGAGGGAGGAGTGTTGATGGGCTGGGGCCCAGGGCCTCCTTAACCAACATGTTTAAGTGCCACCTGGTAGATGTTAATATATGGTAGTGCTTTGACCAGCCCTGCCTTTTTGAGCTGCACTGAGTTCATGGCATGCATGATAGACTTTAAAGAACATTCTTCAGAGAAGAATTCTTGCTCTAGTCAGTACACTTGACTTGTCTCCAGGGAAAGTCGGTTTGAGTTTTCATGAAAATTCTGTTAATTTAAGCTATAATGGTAAGTAAGAGTGATCATGGTTAGAAGATTGCTCCCTTGTGGCTGTGTGACCTTGGACAAGTGGCTTAGCATCTCTGAGCTTCAGTTTCCTTGTCAGGGAAATGGAAATAGTAGTGGTACATAGGTAAGGTATATGAAATGTTTGATCTGGTTCTGGCACATAATAAATAGTTTGAAAAAAAATTGCTCATTATTATCTTATTTAACTCTCAAAGCAACCTTATTGAATAGGTATATGATTACAATGATTGTCCGTATTTCACAGGTGAGATCATGAGGCTCAGACAGCTTCTGTGTGCCTGCTAGGGCTCCAGTAGTACCACGTGGATGGTAACCAGGCAGTAGTTATTGGTTATCTGTCGAGTTTCTTTTTCTTTCACTTTGCTTTTGCAGTGGGATGGAGTTCCATAAATGTCAGGTTGACAGCAAATCTTGATAAGATATTAACCACCTCTGCAAAAAATTCAGACTTTAGAAAAATAGGATGATACAATAGATCCACAGACCTTTATATTTTCCTTTGCACAAGTCCCCAAATCAAATTGAAATTAAGTATGTGCACAAAGCCTTAGATATAGGATCTTCATCATAACTTGTTTATATAACAAAAACTGTAGAAACAACTTAAAAATTCAACAATGAAAGATTGATTAGATCAATTGTACTATATACATAAAGTGGAATGTTACACTACATCAAAAGGCAAAATGAAATCATATATTTGTCTACATTGAAAAATTGGAAGAAGGTATAGTGTTGTGTAATAAAAGCAGGTTATAAACTACTTCATAAAGTATGAGTTTACTTCATAAAGAGAAAATATGTTTTCATAAATATTAAAAACATATATACTATGCACACATATAAGTCTATAAAAACATCTGAGAAGGCATAACCAAAATCGTCACCTGTGGTTGGAAGGGGGAGGTACAACAAATAATTTGAATTTTTTTCTTGTGTGTGTTTGGGAGGGGGATTCTTTATTTTCTGATCTGTGTGCCATGTATAATAAATTCTGGTTACTTAAAAAAAAAGGAAGGGAAAGAATAATGCTTCAAGTCTGCATGTGTGTTGACATTGATCCAACCTTTCAGGTGATCGTGAAGACAAGAACGGAATATCAGCCGGAGCAGAAGAACAAAGGGAAGTTCCGGGTGCCGAAAATCGCTGAGTTTACGGTCAGTTTCTTGATGGTGTAGCAGAAAGAGTAAAGGTGAGGCTGGCCGCAGCCGGCTCAGCACAGCTCGGGCAGGTGACGCAGCTGCTTCTAGAGGGTTTCTTGGAGCCTCGTGGTCCGGGTTGCTGAGTTTAACCAGGTAACAAGAGCTCTGCCTCTCAGCTCTGTCAAACCTCTCGTGCTCCAGGACATTCTGATGAACCTGGTCATTAGTAAATGCCCCTTTTATTCCTTCCCCTTTCTCCTGGCCCATTCTTCCTGCTTTTCCATCACAATCTCCAGGAAATGTGATTGGAAATGCAGGAAGAAACTCAAGCTTTTGTCCCTGGACACGGCTGCAACAAATAAGAAAAAGACAAAGGAAAGCAGAGCTGGCTTCCTGGTGGTAAAAGCCTGATCATTGACTTTCTATTTCTTGATGGGCAGGGGACTAGGAGCACTGATCAATGCGTGTCACTGGTTGTGATGAGCCGCATGAAGGAGACAGAAGCATGCTGAGGGTGCAAGGAAGTGTCCTGGGGGAGCCACTTAGGAGCTGAGATAGAAGTGGGGAGCGGGCACAGGGTGCTGGTGGCCGAGGGAGCACAGCTTGTGCAAAAGCCATGCAGCTGGAGGGAGGCTAGCCCCAGCACTGAGTAGGAGCGAGAACAGCGGGGCAGGGGGCAGGCCCGGATGGGGCAGGAGAAGTGGGGAGAGGGAAGACAGTTCTAGGCCTTGCAGGCCATACAGAGGGTTTTAGGTTTTAATACCAAAAGCAACAGGAAGCCTCTGCAGGACTTCAAAAAGAGGAGGGACATGACTGACTTTGGGTTTTAGGAAAAGCATCTTGGCTTCTGTATGACTAATGAAGTGTAGTGGGCAAAAGGGAAACTATTAGGCTACTGCAGTCGTCCAAGTAAAACAACAATAGTGGCTCAGACAAGAATGGTTAGCAGATGGAGAGATGCAGACAGACCTAAAGGATATTTAGGAGGCAGAACCAGCCATGGAGGCAGTAGAGCAAGTGGTTCTGTGGATGGGTATTGCAGTAGTCTGGCTGGGCTTGGGCCTTGTCTCCACTAGCCAAGTGGACACAAGCAGGTCGCTAAACCTCATTTGTTACAGGGAGATAATAGTAGGGTTACTGTGAAGGTGAGTGCGGAATACACACAGAGCACTTGGGTGTGCACAGGATAAGTACACAATTACTCGTAGCTATTTTGTGTCAGCTGTAACTGGGGAGTTTGAAAGTGAACACATCCCTTGGTTGGTTATCTGGGAATTGGAGCGTGTGTAGATATTGGTCTGTCTCTGTCCCTTTTTCCCTGCTCAATCTATGTTGGAGCACTGGGTATGGTCCCTGAGGGGGAGTGTAGCACCTCTGTGTGCATTCCCCAGATGCCAACCCCCTCTTTGAGGGCAGGGGCTGCTCTTATTTATTACTGTACTTCAGTGTCTGGCCTCCAGCATGGGCCTGGCAGACCCGGGCCTGGCAGACCCGGGCCTGGTCCCGGCTGCACACAAGGACCTGCAAGACCAGCACAGGCCTGCAGCATTGAGCGTTCGCTTTGGGGGGAGGCCTGGACTGTCTTGAGTTCCAGGCCAGGGTGTCGAGTTGACCTGTCCTTGTGCATCATGAGAAATAAGACCAGATTCACATGCAAGAATGTCTGTTGCTATGCTATTTATAAAATCTAAGTATTGGAAACAATGCTAGACTTTCGACAACTTTTCTGTGATTCCATAAATGAGACCACAGCCATATAATGAACTATTTTGCAGTTTCTTAAGATCGCTTTTTCCTAGAGAATAGTTTCTTCTGAATTATGAGCTTAGGAGATATTTATCTCTCCTTTTTGCTTTTCCATGCTTTCCTAATTTTATACAATGAACATGTATTGTTTCAATAATCAGACAAAAATGAGAATTATTTTTAAAAATTTGCTTTTTTCCCAATAGAGAGTTAAGAGTTTTTAATTAAATTATTCCTTATCCAGTAGTCATTTAAAGTGATGTCTATGAAGACATGCAATAACTTGGACAAATACTGAAGAGAGAATGTGGAGTGAAAAAAGCAAAGATTAAAATTGTACACTTTCTAGGATTAGAACTCTGAAAACCCCAGAAATATAGAGGAAAAATGACATGTATTAAGAAATGTATTAAGACACTATCTGTGGCTGTGTTGTGGTGGTATTGGGCCATTTTTTTCCCTCTTCTTTGGTAACTTTTGGTGATGTGGCTGTTTTATCATATTCGAATATGGGAGACAGGTACAATCCCCTACCTCTGAAAGGGGCATGTGGCTCAGAGAACCAACATCACCTGCTCACCCAGACACCAAGTGGCAGAGCCAGAGCGCAAAGCCCAGCCCAGCGGCCTTTCTGCTTGGCCATGGGTGGCTGCCTGCGGTAGCAACTGCTGGGCAGAACAGAACAAGTCAGCTCGGAGAAAAGGAGCCGCCAGGTCAGGGCCCAGGGCCTGCGGAAGCCCCACGTGGTTTCACTCAGTCCCAGGGGCAGGAAAGGCTTTGTGAGTCAAGGCGGCCCTCTGTGGCCCTGTGAGGTGTAGGCGGAGCGGAGCCCTGCCCCTGGGAACAACATGGAAGGAATGAAGCAAATTCTCTGGTGCTTATGTGAAGCTGGGGACATTCATGAGCCTGTCTTTTCGCTTTCTTCAAGAGAGCTCGCTGCGGGCCCTGGGAGGATGCAAGTGCGGGCGAGGGTGGACGGAGGGGCCTGGGGGGAGGCGGTGGTGGTGATTAAGCAGAGTCTGAGCTGAGTCAGCGGACGGGGCTCAGGGCCCAGGGGGCTGTCATGGAGGTGGAGTTTGCAGGACTTATGCCTGGCTGGAGAAGGGACTTGGGGCGCTCGTTGGTGTTTGGCTGGGCTACCCCAGGTAGGGGTTGGGGAGATGCGCCGGGTGTGAGGTTCCTGGAGGCTGCAGTGGGGTGGGGGAGGTGGTCTGGCCACCCTTAGATGGAGCAGGTCTGGAGGTCAGGATGGAGCTTTGCACTGGAGCACCAGGCTGGAAGTCAGGGACTCTACAGCTAGTCTGAGCGAGCCTGGTGCTGGCAAGCAGGGCCAGGATGCCCTGCCACACACGCTGCCAGGGCCGAGGGAACCTTGGGAACTGCAGAGGCACAGTCTTCTCCTCCCAATCCCTTCACAGAGGGGGAACGGCCTGTGACTTTAAATTTAAAAATTAGCCTGGAGAGAGCAGTTCATAGCATCCACTGTGAGAGAGAAAGGGAGAGGAGAGCAGGGTGGGGAGAGATGAATAGAGAAAGATTGGCTGAAAGAATTGCCTGGAATTTCTGTCATTTCTGAAACCAAGGAGGCTCTTGCAGACATCGTAAAGGGCCACAGCACTGAAAGATTTTCATCAGGATCAGGGAATGCGGGAGCATGCAGAGAAGAAACCCCTCCTGATTTCTTAATCCTGAAATCCTACAGTCTTCTAAAGCTGATTTTGCTATGTAGGGTGCTGGACCTAAAGAGGGTGCTAGTGCCATGGAGGGTGCTAGTGCCATGGAGGGTCCTGGTTCTATGGAGGCTGCTGCTGCCAGGGAGATTGCTGTTGCCATCGAGGGTGCTGATGCCATGGAAGGTGCTGGTTCTATGGAGGGTGCTGTTGCCATGGAGATTGCTGTTGCCATGGAGGGTGCTGATTCTATGGAAGGTGCTGGTTCTATGGAGGGCACTGTTGCCATGGAGGGTGCTGGTGCCATGGAGGGTTCTGGTGCTATGGAGGGTGCTGTTGTCATGGACACTGCTGGTGCCATGGATGGTGCTGGTACTATGGAGGGTGCTGGTTCTATGGAGGGTGCTGGTGCCATGGAGGGTTCTGGTGCTATGGAGGGTGCTGTTGTCATGGACACTGCTGGTGCCATGGACGGTGCTGGTACCATGGAGGGTGCTGGTTCTATGGAGGGTGATGTTGCCATGGAGGGTGCTGTTGCCATGGAGGGTGCTGGTTCTATGGAGGGTGCTGGTACCATGGAGGGTGCTGGTTCTATGAAGGGTGCTGGTGCCATGGAGGATGCTGTTGCCATAGAGGGTGCTGTTGCCATGGATGATGCTGGTTCTATGGAGGGTTCTGGTGTTATGGAGGGTGCTGTTGCCATGGAGCATGCTGTTGCCATGGAGGGTGCTTTTGCCATGGATGATGCTGGTGCCCTGGAGGGTCCTGGTTCTATGGAGGGTTCTGGTGCTATGGAGGGTGCTTTTGCCATGGATGATGCTGGTGCCCTGGAGGGTGCTGGTTCTATGGAGGGTTCTGGTGCTATGGAGGGTGCTGTTGCCATGGAGGGTGTTGTTGCCATGGAAGTGCTGTTGCCATGGAGGGTGCTGGTTCTATGGAGGGTTCTGGTGCTACGGAGAATGCTGTTGCCATGGAGGGTGCTGTTGCCATGGAGAGTGCTGTTGCTATGAAGGGTGCTGTTGCCATGGAGAGTGCTGTTGCTATAGCAGGTGCTGGTGCCATGGAGGGTGCTGGTTCTATAGAGGGTGCTGGTTCTATGGAGGGTGCTGGTGCCATGGAGGGTGCTGGTCCTATGGAGGGTGCTGGTGCCATGGAGGGTGCTGTTGCCATGGAGAATGCTGTTGCCATGGAGGGCACTGGGCTATGGAGGGTGCTGCTGGTATGGAACGTGCTGGTGCATCTATCCACACTGCCAGACCTGGTTAATCCAGGCTGGTCTGTGCATGGAGCTGAGTTAGTATTTGGAGGTCATGTGTGCTAAGCTGTGGAAAGGCTTTCTGGGGGAACACCTGGGATTGAGGCTAGGCTCACCTGGGCATCTCAGATCTTGGCCTTGCCACATCATAGCTTCATGACCTTGGCAAAGTATCTTCACCCCAAGCTCCTGCTTCTTCATCAATAAAACTGAACACAATCACAACAAATTGTGCAAGTCCTTGGTGCCTTTGATGGACTGAATAAATGATCATTTTATTTACTTCCTATTCAAATCTCTTTTCTTCCTCTTATGTTCTTAGCTTCCTGACTAATTAGCTGGAT